CGTTTTTTCTATTATGTTACGAGAGGGGATACTTTGGGCCAAAATGTTGTTGCATTATCTGATACATGTACATTTAACCTCATTACTATTTGTGAATAGGATATTGTATGTGTTCATTTTATCCATTTATTATAAAATAATGCAGAGTATCGTAATTTGAAAACAGTACTGCCGAAACATATGTACAGATTATGTGGATAAAAATGACGTCACTGCCTTCATTTGAAAATGAAATGATCCTTTGGTTTATTGTATACAAAAACACTACATTAATATATGGAATTCCCGCCAAATTTCAAGTCTAATTTTTAAAGCAATAAGGAAAGCTTGTCAGACACGGAACAAATTCACTATGATGTCAGAATTTTGCAAAATATCAATAGCTAAATTAAGGACAGGAAAAAAAGAATATTAATAATTTTTAGTTGCTAACATTTACACCGGAAAAACTACTTATAAGTTCTTTTATGAATCAATATTTTGTTTGTTCTGTACAATGCTGATTTCTTAAAGAATCCTACATATTTGATTGTACAAAAGTCTTTCTTCTGAAACAGTTTAGGATTTTATTTTATTTTAGAGTTATTGACCGCACATTTAAAAGTTATATGAATATTTTCAAAAAAAAAAAAAAAGAAATTATCGGCGGCTGAATAAAATTATTAAAGATATTGCCATTGTGCACCTCCTACGAGGGGTGTTCAATAAATAATGTCATCAGCTCGATGACATACAGCATAGAAATCATATGACATTAAGCTTAACTTTCTCTAATCATTGAATCTTTAATAAATTGATAACAGTTTATTTGACCACTTTTCATCGCATAATTTCATTGTGGGAAGCTGGAAAACAAGGGCCACTCGAGACACTGCATTAAAAATGAATGGTCAAGAATCAGTAAACTAGAGTAAAATTAAACGCATCATCAAAGCTGCTGTAAAACTAGTTAATTTCCCAAAAATCTATTAACTGAAACATGTGAAATTTACAGCAACTTATGTCTGTTTCATACACGCATGAACAGGTGGATTTCAATTAACAAAAATTATATAATGGGCATCAAAAATGGGTACCGTCCTTGGCAACAAGTACACACAACAACCAATGTATATTAGCTATAATTCAACAAATTATCACTGATTATGGTTTATTGACTTTAAGTTACATAGCAAATTTGATAGACATCATTTCGGGGGTAGTTTACACTGTTTTAAAGAAACATTTTATTATAAAAAAAAGTTTAATACTCAAAATTCACCCTATATTTTCAAAAATGAGTGAAAACAAGAGCGTGTAGAAAATCTAAACAATTATGTTTAAAATATCAAAAATTGTTCTTATCCACGTTTTTCTGAAATTCAAACAGATCATGAATCTTGAATCCATTTTGAGTTAAACCCTCAAAACAAATTTAGAATAATATGTACTTGACAAAACTGCAAAGGCCTAAGAAGAGCAAAAATTTTCAAGAACACAAAAAGAGTTTTATATATTATTTTCTTAAATATTAGCGGTCTTGTTGTTCAAATTCATATATAGGGAGGCAGTTCAATTTCTGGAGGAGTCTAGTAAGCAAAATATTTGCCAAAACTTTGAAAGGTTTTTGAGAGGAAGGAAACAGAATGAGGAATTCACTACATTAAATTTCTTTCTGACAGCCTCCAAATCCACAGGCTATGAAGAGTAAACGAGTTTTGGGGTAAACAGAAAGTTAATGTTTTGTCACGTCAACAATATTCGCCAGATCTTTCAATCTTTCACATGTTTCATTTCCCAAACTTAGGAAAACACCTTTCAGAAAGAAAAAATCAAGTACAATAAATCATAGGATCTGCTATTTTCCAGTATACGAAGGGTCATACTCAAAATTGTGTTCTAAAAACAATCAGAAATTGAATAAAAATGTTACGGACAGGTGTTTTAATTAAAAGAGAATATTTTAGTTAAATCATTAAGACAAAATCATAGAAAAACGCTTTTTCGGTTCTTTCCGAGCCCTGATGACATTATTTATTGAACGCCCCTCGTATTTTACTTTTTGATCCGACACATATTTTGGTTTCCCATAGCAAAACATGGACACTGCCATTTATACACATATGGGAGGTGGGGGTATCATTTAGTGAACCCATTGCTCACAGTACCTCTAGTTTTTTTTTTTTTTTTACTTTTCTCTTTTGTATCACGAATCTCTAAATTATTTATAATAATCATTTTAATCTCACATATCTTCATGAAACTTTTAACCATAGTTTCTAATACCTGACTGTTTTTTTTTTCAAAGTCGCCAAATGTCTGTTCAAATCTTGAAAAACCATGAATAATTATATTATTTTGAAATAAACATGAAAATGATAAATTTTAAGTACTACAGGTAAATATCAGTATTTCGAACATAGGATATCTCGAATACCCCGCTTATGTCGAAGTCGGTCGCCGGTCCTGGCCGTTTTCCCTATATATATGAATTAAAAAACACCTGATATCTCGAACACGGTAATCTAAAATACCCCGCTTATGTCGAAGTATATTCAAAGTCCCAAGCCTTATTTTACCTGGCTTATCTCGAAGTGCAGTGAATTTTTCGGTCTACTGAACACACCTGGCGTCGTGACTTCACACATTCTTGCCAGTGGCTATTAATTAACACCTTCAAAACGGGGGAATCTTAATTAATCCCAAGCTCACGTTGGGTATCTGTGACACGGTAATTGGTATGACAGCTTGGGTGTTGGTTTAGTCTACGACCAATAAAACCACTAACAGCAATTCATAGATTAAATACAGACAGTATTACCGATATTGCATTTAATAAAATGCTCTGTATAATTAAAATCGTAAATTCATAAAACACAAAATATTTTTTAAATAAACTTAAACAGTTAAGTTGCAATGCGTAATGCACAGTGCAGTGATTGATTACATCAATGTTTATCTGCGTATAAATAGATAACCTTGACCGCCATTTGCATTGTTAGTTTCGTAAACTATATGCTCCCTAGTAGTACTTCGTAATGTAATAAATGTAAGCTATTAAGAGCCTGTCTACGAGAAAAACCATGCAGATATATAGAAAAATGCTCTGGTAGGCACTCTCAAGAACAAACTAATTTTTATTATTAATTTAAAGGACACCCATTGAGAGTCAGAAATATGTTGTTTATTTTTGCATCGGTTGTTTCTATTTATAGTAACAGCCAATAATTCATTTTGGTCATTATTCAAGGGAAAATGCAAAAAAGTTGGTGTAAAAATGACAATTTCAATATTTAAAAGTAAAAAAGAAAAAAAACAATACATAAATAAAAGGGCAATGTTTTCTCATAGACCTAAGTCGTAAAATTAAGTTGGAATCAATTTTTTTGTAAAACTCCTATTAAGAAGGCTGTCCCGAGGGCACAAATATTGGCATGGTGCCAAGAAATGATAATGGTTCATTTTTTGTTAATAGTCAGGGATACATTTCTTAGAAAGTGACACTTCTTTTTTCAGAATTTTGTGCATTTAAGAATCTCTAGGATATTATCCCAACAATATGTAAAATCCACCTTTGGACTCTCAAGGACAGAACAGTTATATCGTAATGAAATTACCTCAAATTCAAATGATGGAAAAATTCATGATTTTATAAGTTTAACTTTTAACAGTAATTTTAATGAATTTTGTGTAAAATATTTACAAATATAAACAATGAAAATTATTTTTAATTTTATAAAAGCTATAAATATTTTTTTTTCCTGCTTTTCCTGTGAAAAAATACATATTTTACTATTTATTTAGATTTTTGTTAGAATTATCTCCCCTGTTGCGCTCTTCTGTAGAGAAGGTAGATAATTATTATGTTTACGAAGTTTATAAACAGATGTCTGTCATCTAATCCTTTTAGGCATAAATTATGTGTGATTTGAAGAAAATTGTCCCTCCTGTGAATGTAATTTGTTACATATATACTAATGGCCTATGTATAAAATGCATAAAAAATTATGAAAACCATCGGGATCGAAGTACGGTTCCGTAACCACGTGTAAACATTATGGCATCCTGAGACGTTTTGTTACCGTTTTGTACGTCCTCAGAAAAAGAATCAGATGCGTGAATTGTTAACGAGTCTTCAGATTATGGCTCTGATTTTGCTGAATATGATTCTGACAGCAAACATTCATTTGGTAGCAAGATGGATGTAGTGATGATGATACCGAATCAACAATGTTTGAATTTGAAAAAGAAACAGGTAGTTGGATCTTGGTTTATAATACTATGTACCTTATAAAAAGGTTTATTGATATGTAAAAAATAAATAAATAAACAATTTTGACTTGATTATGGACAAGAGAAATTCTTTTTACAAGACACTATCAGGTCTGGTACAATCACAGGGGCTTGTCACAAAATATTTATCTTCTTTTAAAATACACAAGTGTGTATTTTTATAGTAGGGGTAACTTTATTAAAAGAAGATAAATATTTCGTGACAAGCCCCTGTGGTACTATCACTAGATATAGCTACATGTATATATATAGCTTGATTTACCTACTTAGTTACCTTTATTTACTTACCAGAAATAGCTTTATTTAGCTACCAAAGTAATTTATTTCTATAAAAAAATACCTACGTAGCTAAATCTAGTGATTGTACTGGACCTGAATATATACCTAGCAAACCTGTCAAGAGAAATTTCAAGGTTGGTACTTGTACATGTAGCAATAAAAATATCTGTATAGATTCAACAATATTGCAAAATATTCACATCTGCAGAATTATAAATAGCATAAGTAGCCTTTGTGGGGTGATGAAAAGGGAATGAAAAGTTGAATAGGTCCAGGGTTTTCAAAGACTGTTTACTAATAGGGTACATTAAGAATTGGATAGGTGGGTCTTCACTGTCAATTAAATCACCATTATTGCCTCATATGTGGGCTGCATGATTATAAAGAATCTCATTAAACAAAATATTTTTTTCAAATATTTATGAAATGTTATGAATATTGGGCTACGGGTTATGATTTTCGGCTTTTCATATATGATTAAAGGAAAAAGAGTTGTCAAGTACTTGTGCAGACTTTTCAAATTAAAGGTCACCATGTGTTCCTTGACAGGTTTTACGTTTAAAACATAACTAATATTATAAATATAAGTCTGGGAAATTTTACTTTGTAAAGAATATTTCCTTTCATTCTTATATTTCTCGTGCAATTTCAGATTATTCAAATTCATTTCCCTGGTTAGGGCTGGGCTTTACAATGGGATTTTCAGCTGTGGAGCTATAAAGAATTGCTACATAGGGTTTCCAATGTAGTTTTGTGAACAGAATCCAGAAATAAGAAGAGGAAAGACAATGCAGATGCAGCATAAGCATTACCAATTACTTATCACTGCTGAGGAAATGGTAAAGAGATGTTATATTATTACACCTCTACTGTAATTACTCTGTATAAATTAATACCATAAAACTCTATTTCCTCGATAAGTGACTATTGCCCTCATCTGAAGACTACTCCCTGGAAAATCAGAGTTGCTCCCTTGGACTACTCCCTCATGAATATTTATTAGTAATTTTAACCAATCAAAGTGTTCAGTGGGTGGAGCGTTCAAGAATCTCGAGTCTGTGATGTCATGTTATTAGCAATGTAGCTATGAGGTCAAAACATTTCGACGTACCATGTCAAAATCATACTTGAATTCTACCAAAATGAAGACAACGATAATTTTTCGAAATGTCAGTGAAAATACTTTTTTAAAAATAATTTAATTGTTTAAGGACACGATGCTTCACTTATCATACAATGAGTTAAACTGCTTGCATTTGTAATTATGCCTCTACAGTTTTTTTTTAAATGTCGGAATATCTGGTTAAAAAAATTTATCATTGTTTCGGTATAATAAAAAAGTTATGGAATGGGAACTCGGGAAATAGCAAATTTATAGTTCCCCTCGGCAGAAAACTATTTCCTCTGGGAAATAGTTTCCTCCCTCGGGGAATCATAAATTTGCTATTTCCCTCATACACATTTCATAACTGTATACTATAGTACATGGATAGGAATTGCCTTGTCTGTCTGTCGATTTGCCACATGCATTTTTCCCTACTCTGTTACTTTACTTCAAGGATATATGAAGCTCTTGTTTTCTTCAAAGATAGCCAGAAGAATTTGTGAAGAATCTTACCCAAGTCATTTGATGACATTTTCTTCAATTGATAAATTTAAATGTAGCATTATCATAAACATGACATTTATTTTAAAAATCTTAGAATATGTCTGGTATGGTTTATTTCAATTTAATTTGAAAACTGTGTTTTTTCACAGGTACCTGCTTTGAGTACTACTTTTGTGTATTTGGAGACAGTCCAGTTGTCCTTTAAACCAGAAGTGGAAATTTCAGTGCTTGTTAAATGTTCTCCAGAAGTTATTGGATGATACATAGGAAGAAAATGGGGTCATACTGAACAGAATAGTTTGGATACACATTATAGATTTTGAAAGCTTGAGACCTCAAGATCAACCCAAATGATATTTAATATGTATCAGGTTTTACTTGCAGGAATACACAGAAATTCAGGGTAAATTTTAAGTGTTTGTTATCTTAGAAAAGATCAAAGTTCAAGGTCAACAGTGCTTTAGTTTTATCAAATATAACACTATTATAAAGACTAATTTCCTTTATACAGGTATAGCAAATAATTCAGAATATGATTTGGGGAAACTGTGATTTTTTCTTTTAAATCTTACCTAAATTTAGAACCATGATGTATACTTAAGCAAGTAGATTTTTTTCAAGCATACAAAATTTCAAGGTCATTTTGATTTTGGAAGTGAATATAAAATATCAGGAAGCAGTCAAGCTTTGTAATTTTTTTGTTGTTGAATGTACTTATTTATTGAGTAATATTCAAATTTTAATATGCAATGAAATTAAAAATTATAAAATAATTAATGTTCTAATTTGTTGATTTTTAAAACTTTGTGTTCATTCATTTTGAGGTTGTTACCATGACAATATGTCTGTCAAGAAAATGGCTCTGATATTCCTTTTTGTTCAGTTTGACCCTTGACCTTTGACATTGTGACCTCAAAATCTAAAGGGGTCCTCTACTTTTCAAGAAACCAGTGTACTAAATTTCATGTCTCTCAAACAATGGGTCCTCACGATTTTGAATGATTAAAATCTACATACTGGTATATCGAGAATTATAACCCTTGACCTTTGACCTTGTGAACTCCAAATTAAAAGGGGCCATCTACTTATTAGTAGATACCAGTGTACTATGTTTATTATCTATCAAGCAAGTTTTTTTTTTTTAAGATAAGAGAGAACACACTTGGTCTACTGATTGACAAACAGGTACTAAGCAGTATGTGAATATCACCCTGCTCAAAGAAAATGTAAAATAATACAATTCTGGTACACCCCCCCCCCAAATTAACCCCATTTAACCCCCTAAGAAATAATTATTGATTGAAAACAAAAATGTACAATATACTGGTATTTTTCAACAGCAAAATTTAAATTTTTGAAAATATTTAAATCAGCAAAATAACTCCTTGCTGAAGTTCAGGGATGAGAAAATTTGAAAATTCACAAAAAAAAATGTCCAACTTTAAGTAAAAAGTACAGCAAAATATTTGAGAGTCCAAAGACAGATTTTCTATATAATGTAGACAGACATGTTGTCTAATAATTGGTATGAGATTGAGTTGATTCTAAGCGTCACTTTCTGAGTTATAGGTTTTTGAAAAGTGAATATTTTCACCAGTTTTTATAAATCTGGAAATATGCCAGATTTGTAACCTTTTTGCACTTAAACGAGGGCACAGTTTGTGAATATGAAAAATTTTCCAAAACAAGTGTATCTTGTTACTCTCAACCATATAAGGATATTTTATATCATAATCAAGTAAAATGCTGAATTTTTAAATATAAAATCCAATAAAATTCCTGTTTTCACCCTGCGTAAGGACCAAGAATTCTATTTTTGGTAACAGTGTCGATTTAACCCCTTAAGTGAGACCACACTGAAAAAAATTTTGTGGCAAAATATTTCATATTATAGAAGATATTTACACACAAAACATGAAGTTGATCCGAGAACCTTGCTCCCATAACCTCTTGCATGGTTTTCTCGTAGACATGCTCTTAACAGTATTCAAGTTCACAGTTTAAATACTGATTATTTTTTTAGTGTTTTAAATAACATTTTGCACTAAATTTCAACAAATGAAGTTTTAAAAAATTCTTCTTTTTCTTTTCTTACGGAAAAGTTTCTTCAACTATTACGCTAATGATACATCCCGTTTGACCAGGTAAGCATGGCCTGGAAAATGTAAAATCGCTGAAAATGCAATAAGGCATGTATATTAAATTATTTTACAACTATACACGTTTAAAAAAACACCAACATTGTTTTTCTTAATATTTATTACGAGTATGCTTGAATCTTTACCGTAAAGACTTCATGTTTGGTAAAACAGGATAGTGTTATGCATGAAGATGTATAAGAAAAATCGGGAAATTATTGAATCGAGTTTGGAAGATAACTTCGGATATCTCGAACCCCCGGATATCTCGAAGTCGTGCCCAGGTCCCCTCAACTTCGAGATACTGATATTTCACTGTATTAGTAAGTGGTCAATTAACAACGGATAAAACAAATCGTCAGAGAAGTTGAATTTTTTTTTATCTTTGACACTGCCACCTTCTTTATATCTATTTCTATGGTTTGCATGTTTAAGCATTTTTATGATATTGAAGTTTGGTTTAAGGTAGTGGTATAGTACCATCGAGACCCAATGTGAAACCCAATCCATCCCAGGAAAAAAAACCTGGGTCTGCTCTTGGACGGTACTAACCTAAATTTGAAATTATATATATATTTTTCTTACAAACAAAAAAGTGTTTCTGTGTTTCATTTTCATAGGATTTTCTACACGAGAAACAAATGACAACTTCTGACAAAATGTGAAGTTCTCAATGTTCAAAAATAACACTGCAACAATCATTTCTAAGCAATAAAATTTTGTTAAATAAATGGTCGAGGAACTGAGTTTGATAATAAATCGTACCTGTTAATTTATTTGTTGGAAATGAACAAAGGGATTCTTTCTTAGCAATCCACAATTTTATACCTATCCGATTATGTTAACAGTTTTGCTTTATATACTGAAAAGAAAAATAAATGTAGGGTAAACTTTTTAGGTAAATTGGTTAAAGGTGGCGATTTTTAAAGAGATGACAGGACGAACAACCCGCTCAGAACATGACTCTGTTTTGCGTTAACTTCGTCGTCACGGTTGATTGAAAAACATTCAACGCTCTGACAACGGGTTACAATTTTTATAATTGTAAATTTACAAGAAACTGTATAGCTCCCCGTTGTTGCCTTTTTCACTAGTTAGGCAATTCGAAAACCATGCAGACCCCATGGAACTTCCGTAAACTGTACCAAGATTGCAAGAAATGCATATAGTCTCTAAATATTGAACAACAATGTTTATACCTCATGTGCATCAAATGGTGCAACAAAATGTTTTGACAAGCTCGTCGTCATGAAATTACACGTGTTTATAGGCTTTTAAGTGTTTTCCCTACTTGACGTCATATAGTTTACCGTTGAGTAATTCTGAACTCTGGTTTTGGTGCATAGAAACTAAATTTCTCATCTGACCAATTTCGTAGTTTTTCGGTCATGCGGTCAATTTTTTTTAATATAATGCTACCCTGCGTTTCTTTTTCTTTTCAGTATAATTTAGGACAAAACTAGTCCTTAGCTTGAATTTATAGCAAAAGTACAGGTTTTTCTTATAATAATTCTATATCAGAACATTTCATCATGAGCAACAGGAGTCCATAATATGT